ACATGATGTGAATTGGAGCTATAGAAATAAACTGAATTGAATTTATTAGGAAAGATATAATCTGATAGAAAGATAAAATCTGATTATCTTTTAGTTAACTTTGTAAACTAACTTTAACAATTTCCAATAAAAAGTTCTTACTTCTGGCATCAAACCAACTTTAAAGGTGTAACAGTCGCCTAAAAAGCTGGAGTGAGAAGTTTAGTGTCCTAATGTGACTAAAACTCAGAGCCTCTACAATTTAAAAATTGCGTTTTGCTAAATTGCAATTATATTGCAAATGCAATTAATTGCCCAGCCGTAGGGAGTGGCGAACAGACCAAATCGTCAATGTAAGCAGATTTTGAGATTAAAAATGTCACTTCACTAATATTAGGTGAAACATAAAACCAATAATCAACCACAGGGTTTGATTCGATCTAAACGAGCCTCTTCCTTCTTTAACAGAAGAGGCTTGGTTAGTAGAAGCAAAGCAGGGAGGGGCCTGGCTTCCCACACAGGAGCTGTCTGGTTCTGAAAGGGCTGGATAAAGAGCAGGTTGTAGCTGCCTGGGATCTAACGGCGTTTGGTTGGATTACAGCAGGAGAAAGCTAAAAAAGAAGGAAGACCTCAGCCAACAAGGTGCAGAAACATTTCTGGGTTGCAGGCGTCTTAGTTTCACGGAGCCGCTCTGTGCTCACCTGAGGAGTAGGCGGCGCTCCAGCCTTGAGCCAGCCCCAAAGAGTTCCCGCCCCAGGTGGAGGAGGGTTTGGTGCTGGTGAGACCGGGCGGCGGCCGGGACGGGGCGGCGGTGCTGCGCGGCCCCTGAGGAACTTTCCACAACTCATGGGACAGAGAAGCTTGGTTCTGAGCGATGGGCCCCGGGGACCAGGTGGACTTCATTTCAGTCAGTTTCCCTTCAGAGAAAAGAAGTTCATTTGTTAGGAAATCTGGAGGAAGTCAGATTACATACAAGAAAACAAAAAAGGGGTTAGCAACTAAATACATTCTAATGAACTATTGGAAAAATAATGTCTGTTCTGTAAAATTTAGGAGAACATTATAACTATAAATGTGGCTTTTTTTTTTAAACTCATGCATTGGGCAAACCCCAATAACAACATGCATGTGCTGTTCCACTGAAAATCATTGAAACTTCTCTGATTATCTTGCCTTTTTAAAGCTCTGATCTCATACAGCACAATGGTTTCACATTTAGTACAAACGAAAGTGAGGAGAAGAGCCCACAGTGTTTTTTACGCTGCAGCAGGGAGTGGCACTGATTCAGGGAGCAGATAGGCGAGGCTCGCTGCGCTGTGGTTTTTATTCTCTAGCAAAGATTGTTTCCAATCACAGCAAGATTTCTAAACCAAACTGTTAAAGTCTGAAAAGACCGGCTGAGTAGAACTTTTTAATCTGAGATCTGATTTTTTTTTCCCTGTCACACTGATTATAGAGAGGCTCTGACTGGGCAGGGTTAGCAGATCTGCTCAGATCGTTTTCGGTCTCTTTGCTATGAACACATTAAAACAATTTCCCACATTTGACTTGGACAGATTATGAAAAGTTATTAAATTGAATAAAAAAAAAGCGCCGCATTCTATAAAACAAAGCCCCACTTAACTAGTCTGTGCAGCATCTTAGACCAGAACAGATAGAAAACGTTCATCTATTAAAAACATAGTGAGATCTACGTCTGAAGAAAAGAAAAATGCAGCAATAAAACGCAGTGGGACGGTTTCTATGGCGACTGAGGGAGAGAGGTGATTCTCAGAGATCTGGGAGGTTTTTCCTTATTTTTTCCATAAAGAGGTGAGAGGGATACGCTGCCCTTATATACTCCATCTATCCCTCATTATTTTGGTTTCTGTGAGGCTCAAAGAGGATCACTACTTTATCCGTTTTCAGTTTTCCTGAACAATCATGGGGAAAGTTTTCTATTTTAATGTTTCATTCGTTGTTTTTGCACCAGTCTGTCCTGCAGGGGGGGATTTACCATCAGCTGTTGCCTAGGGCCTCAAGTTCCTGGGGGCCCCATAAACCTCTGTTTACATGTATGGTTAATACAACTATTCCTTATTTATGCACATTAATTATGTTTTTGAAAAAAAAAAGTCCTTTGGCTAAAATGCCATCAGAACGCTGATAATATTAAGT